GTTCCTGCGATCAGATCGTGGAGGAGAATACTTGAGTCATGAGTTTGGCACACACTTAAGAAAATGTGGAATAGTTTCACAGCTCACGCCGCCTGGAACACCTCAGCGTAATGGTGTGTCCGAACGTCGTAATCGCACTCTATTAGATATGGTGCGATCTATGATGTCTCTTGCTGATTTACCACTATCTTTTTGGGGCTATGCTTTAGAGACTGCCGCATTCACTTTAAATAGGGCTCCATTGAAATCCGTTGAGACGACACCGTTTGAATTATGGTTTGGGAAGAAACCTAAGCTGTCGTTTCTAAAAGTTTGGGGATGTGATGCTTATGTCAAGAAACTTCAACCTGAAAAGCTCGAACCCAAATCGGAAAAATGCGTCTTCATAGGATACCCTAAAGAAACTATTGGGTATACCTTCTACCTCAGATCCGAAGGCAAGATCTTTGTTGCCAAGAATGGGTCCTTTCTAGAGAAAGAGTTTCTCTCGAAAGAAGTAAGTGGGAGGAAAGTAGAGCTTGATGAAGTATTACCTCTTGAACCGGAAAATGGCGCAACTCAAGAGAATGTTCCTGAGGTGCCTGCACCGACTAGAGAGGAAGTTAATGATAATGATCAAGATACTTCTGATCAAACTCCTACTGAAATTCGTAGGTCCGCAAGGACATGTTCCGCACCAGAGTGGTACGGCAACCCTGTCTTGGAAATCATGTTGTTGGACAACGGTGAACCTTCGAACTATGAAGAAGCGATGGCGGGCCCGAATTCCGACAAATGGCTAGAAGCCATGAAATCCGAGATAGGATCCATGTATGAAAATGAAGTATGGACTTTGACTGACTTGCCCGTTGAGCGGCGAGCCATACAAAATAAATGGATCTTTAAGAAGAAGACAGACACGGATGGTAATGTGACCATCTATAAAGCTCGGCTTGTCGCTAAGGGTTATCGACAAGTTCAAGGGGTTGACTACGATGAGACTTTCTCACCGGTAGCGAAGCTGAAGTCCGTCCGAATCATGTTAGCTATTGCCGCATTCTATGATTATGAAATATGGCAAATGGAGTCAAAACGGCATTCCTTAATGGTTTCCTTAAGGAAGAATTGTATATGATGCAGCCGGAAGGTTTTGTCGATCCTAAGAATGCTGACAAGGTGTGCAAGCTCCAACGCTCGATTTATGGGCTGGTGCAAGCATCTCGGAGTTGGAACATTCGCTTTGATGAGATGATCAAAGCGTTTGGGTTTCAGACTTATGGAGAAGCATGCATTTACAAGAAAGTGAGTGGGAGCTCTGTAGCATTTCTCATATTATATGTAGATGACATACTTTTGATGGGAAATGATATAGAACTCTTGGACAGCATTAAGGCCTACTTGAATAAGAGTTTTTCAATGAAGGACCTTGGAGAAGCTGGTTATATATTAGGCATCAAGATCTACAGAGATAGATCAAGACGCCTCATAGGTCTTTCACAAAGCACATACCTTGATAAGATATTGAAGAAGTTCAATATGGATCAGTCTAAGAAGGGGTTCTTGCCTGTGTTGCAAGGTGTGAAATTGAGCTCAGCTCAATGTCCGACCACGGCAGAAGATATAGAAGAGATGAGTGTCATCCCCTATGCCTCAGCCATAGGTTCTATTATGTATGTCATGCTGTGTACCAGACCTGATGTAAACCTTGCCGTAAGTTTGGTAGGAAGGTACCAAAGTAATCTCGGCAAGGAACACTGGACAACGGTCAAGAATATCCTGAAGTACCTAAAAAGGACTAAGGAAATGTTTCTCGTTTATGGATGTGATGAAGAGCTCGTCGTAAAGGGTTACGTCGACGCTAGCTTTGACACAGATCTGGATGACTCTAAGTCACAAACCGGATACGTGTATATTTTGAATGGTGGGGCAGTAAGCTGGTGCAGTTGCAAGCAGAGCGTCGTGGCGGGATCTACATGTGAAGCGGAGTACATGGCAGCCTCGGAGGCAGCGCATGAAGAAATTTGGGTGAAGGAGTTCATCACTGACCTAGGAGTTATACCCAATGCGTCGGGGCCGATCAAGCTCTTCTGTGACAACACTGGAGCTATTGCTCTTGCCAAGGAGCCCAGGTTTCACAAGAAGACAAGGCACATCAAGCGTCGCTTCAACTCCATTCGTGAAAATGTTCAAGATGGAGACATATATATTTGTAAAGTACACACAGACCTGAATGTAGCAGATCCGTTGACTAAACCTCTCCCTAGAGCAAAACATGATCAACACCAGAATTCCATGGGTGTTCGATTCATCACAATGTAACTAGATTATTGACTCTAGTGCAAGTGGGAGACTATTGGAAATATGCCCTAGAGGCAATAATAAAAGCATTATTATTATATTTCCTTGTTCATGATAATTGTCTTTATTCATGCTATAATTGTGTTATCCGGAAATCGTAATACATGTGTGAATAATAGACACCAACATGTCCCTAGTAAGCCTCTAGTTGACTAGCTCGTTGATCAACAGATAGTCATGGTTTCCTGACTATGGACATTGGATGTCATTGATAACGAGATCACATCGTTAGGAGAATGATGTGATGGACAAGACCCAATCCTAAACTTAGCACAAGATCGTATAGTTCGTTTGCTAGAGTTTTTCAATGTCAAGTATCTTTTCCTTAGACCATGAGATCGTGTAACTCCCGGATACCGTAGGAGTGCTTTGGGTGTACCAAACGTCACAACGTAACTGGGTGACTATAAAGGTATACTACGGGTATCTCCGAAAGTGTCTGTTGGGTTAACACGGATCAAGACTGGGATTTGTCACTCCGTATGACGGAGAGGTATCACTGGGCCCACTAGGTAATGCATCATCATAATGAGCTCAAAGTGACCAAGTGTCTGGTCACGGGATCATGCATTACGGTACGAGTAAAGTGACTTGCCAGTAACGAGATTGAACGAGGTATTGGGATACCGACGATCGAATCTCGGGCAAGTAACATACCAATTGACAAAGGGAATTGTATACGGGGTTGCTTGAATCCTCGACATCATGGTTCATCCGATGAGATCATCGAGGAGCATGTGGGAGCCAACATGGGTATCCAGATCCCGCTGTTGGTTATTGACCGGAGAGCGATCTCGGTCATGTCTACATGTCTCCCGAACCCGTAGGGTCTACACACTTAAGGTTCGGTGACGCTAGGGTTGTAGGGATATGTATATGCAGTAACCCGAATGTTGTTCAGAGTCCCGAATGAGATCCCGGACGTCACGAGGAGTTCCGGAATGGTCTGGAGGTAAAGAATTATATATAGGAAGTGCTATTTCGGGCATCGGGACAAGTTTCGGGGTCACCGGTATTGTACCGGGACCACCGAAAGGGTCCCGGGGGTCCACCGGGTGGGGCCACCTGCCCCGGGGGGGGGCACATGGGCTGTAGGGGGTGCGCGTTGGCCTATATGGGCCAAGGGCACCAGCCCCAAGAGGCCCATGCGCCTAGGGTTCTAGAAGGGAAGAGTCCCAAAGGGGGAAGGCACCTCCTAGGTGCCTTGGGGAGGAGGGAGTCCTCCCTTGGCCGCCGCCCCCTAGGAGATTGGATCTCCTAGGCCGGCGCCCCCCCTGGGCTCCCTATATATAGTGGGGGAAGGAGGGCCTCTCAACCACGCCTTTGGTGCCTCCCTCTCCCTCTCCAACACATCCTCCTCCTCCATAGTGCTTAGCGAAGCCCTGCCGGAGTACCGCAGCTCCATCACCACCACGCCGTCGTGCTGCTGCTGGAGCCATCTCCCTCAACCTCTCCTTTCCCCTTGCTGGATCAAGAAGGAGGAGACGTTACGCTAACCGTACGTGTGTTGAACGCGGAGGTGCCGTCCGTTCGGCGCTAGGATCTCCGGTGATTTGGATCACATCGAGTATGTCTTCCTCATCCCCGTTCTTTGAACGCTTCCACGCGTGATCTACAAAGGTATGTAGATGCAATCCAATCACTCATTGATAGATGAACTCCTAGATGGATCTTGGTGAAACCGTAGGAAATTTTTTGTTTTCTGCAACGTTCCCCAACAGGACGTTGCGCAGGATCATGCGGCTCAAAGCAACACACAAGTTTGGACAAAGACTATATGGAAGCAAACGAGAAGACGAAGTCAAGTGAAGGTTATTTTGGTATGCTTACCAAAATCCACTGAGAAGAAAACCAAGAGAGTGATTATGGTGTTGCTCAAGAGTGGAAAATATTATTTACAAATGGCTAAGTAAAAATGTCTGTTTGTTTAGAGTTTTGGGCTTGGCCCATTCAGTGGGAACCATGGCCCATTCAATGGCGGTGAAAGGCAGCTCCAGGCATATATGTGAGCTACAAGGTTTTCCTTGCAGCCGTCGATGATGAGCAGAGAAACAGAGCAGCCGCCGCACATTTGAAAGAGAGCTTCCCGTATGGGATTTGGCCTGTGTGAGAGAGGCTTGTAACTCTAGAAATCTGAAAAAAAATTCGGAAAGGAGAAATCTGAGAAATAAAACCTCAAACCATTCCCAATCTTGTTGTGGTCGAGATCTGCTGTTTGTTCTTGCTTAATTCGTTTTTCTGTTGTGCCAATTTATTTCCTGTGATTCCTTGGCTATCATTAGTGTTCAGTGATGGAAAATCATGCCTAAATCGATACCCATCCATCCCTAGCCTTTATATGGTCGTTCTTCCTTTTTATTCATGGGTTCTTGAGATGGCGCTGAATTTTTTTCGAAACGGAGGCAAAAGAATTGCCTCATCGATTAATTAAGAAGAAGAGAATTGCCCAGTTAATTTACGAAAAACCGGGCGAAAATCGATACAAACAAACTCACTCAACACGAAACACCACGACCACGTAGACGGCCGCCAAGTACTCCCAACACTCAACAAGCACAACCCTCAACACTTCTACAATGCAACGGAACCCCGAGCAAGAAACCGACAATGATGACTCAAAATACCAAGGCCATGTCAATAGCACGAGAACCGAGCACAATCCATCATGACATCACAGACGCCTTCCCTTTTGCATCATCAACCATAGGAACCTCCAGCTGCTCACTTGACAAAGGTGGATCTTGTCCCTCGCCTGAGGTCGTTGGTGTGTCCACCTTCATATGTTCCACTGACAAATTCAGACATAGCTCCCTAAGCTCGGGCATGACCTGCAGCACTGGAGCCACAAGCACGGCAATGGACTCGCTCTCAGTGGAAGACAACATAGGATGGGAGGTAGGCATCAAGGATGAATTGTCTCCAACACGAGGGGAGAAGGAGCCATATAACTCCACCCCCCTATCTGCTGCGGAGCAAACACCGACCGCACAAGGAGAGTGCGACGTCAGAGAGGTCTGCAACATAGCCGGCGCAAGGGAGAGTCTACTCAGAGCAGCCTCCGCTCGTTCTAAAAAGCTCTCAACACGTGCCAGACAACCTTGCAGCAACGCAGTCTGATCAGCCAAAGCGGACTGCAACATGAGCTCCAACGAGGTTGGTGAGCCAACGGTACCAGAGACAACAGACGCCCAAGACCCACGCTGAAGCACCTTCGATGGGAGTGCGGATGTCATCGGACCCTCAGATGAAGCAAGAGCAGGACGATGCACGACATCGAGCTGCGACAAGAGCGGCACATCAGTTCCTGGCAGAGAGCTTAGAGGACGCCATCGGTTGCAACATCCACGCGCACGATGACCGTTCTCCAAACAACGGGAGCACCGCAATGGCTCTTTGCAAACAGCCACGCGATGACCATGAGCGTAGCATCTGTAACATCTACCGCGAAGCCAAGCGGGGATGGGACGAGGAGCCATTGTCGAGGAAGGCGACGAATTCATACGACGTGGGCCACGCCACGGCAGCACCTCCTGCCAACCCACATTTGTGTCTGCGTCATGCCCCACGCACATCCCTCCAGAGTCAAGGGCATTGGTGGCAGCCGGCGGTGTCTGGGGAGCCAACTCCTCTTCGTCATCTTCATCGTCATCGTCGTCAGCAGCAGAGGCCCACAACATCGCCGGTGGTGGCAGCGTCATGGCCATTTCCTCTTCACAGCCCATGTCGTCCCCATTGGCCGAGGCAACTGGGCCGGTAGCAACACATCCGAGGCGGCACCGGCAAGAACAGGGGAGCTAGGCGTCGGGGCCGAAGCAGTTGTCGACACAGGCACCGAACAGGGCGTGCACGCAGCCTTCACACCCCCGTCCTCCCTCCTGAACCTAGAAGCTGGGGGCAGAGGCCGCGGTCGAGGGAGAACACCCGCGGCCGGGGTAGTGCCTGCAGCCTGAGCGCATGACGCAGACGGCAGAAGGATGATGGGTGCAGCAGCCGAAGACGCCGATGGAGTGGTGGCCGCCGCGGAGGCCCGGGCGAGCAGCATTGCCGAGCGAACCGAGAGACGGGCCGCCGCCGAGACAGCCGTGGGAGAGATCTCCGCGGGGCACCCGGATCCGGTCACGGAGGCCGGAGGCCGGAGATCCGGGCGACGGTGGCGCGCGCCCAGCCGCCACTTGCACGGACGCGAGAGTGCCATCCCTTCCCAACGCATGACCCCGAGCCGAGTCGAGCCTGGCAGAAGAGAGAGGGCGAGCAGGGGACTCCGGATCTGGCCTGGGTAGCTGCACAGCTAGCCGGAGATGGGAGATCGAGGCGCCGCCGCCGGGGGCGCTCACCCGACGCGGGAGCTGTCGCAGGAGCTCATCCCACATGCATTTTGATTTTGCTCGGCGCCGAATTTTATCTTCAGTGATTTATTTTGTGCGAGTCCATCTTGAGTTCTTCCTGTTCTCGAGTCAATCAGGAGTCGTTGTGGTTTCTAGTAAATTTCTCGCATGTTCTCCATCTCCGCTGATGCTACTTCTGCATACGACCATTTTATTAATTATTCTCACAAGACCTTACAAAGTCATACAATAGTAAAACTAAAGCCGTCGTCTAAGCAACAAACTGTCGCTACACCTATCCAGTTGATAAAGGATGCACATAGCCTGGGCCTAATACCAAACAGACATCACACCCAAGCCTAACATCTAAGACCTGAGACCCCAACCTTGCCACTTGTCGGGTCTGGAGCACACACTGGTCCGGCGTGCTCTTAGAGGCCGCCGCTGCCAACTGCCACTGCTCCATCTTCAAAACTGTACTAATGCATCAACTTTGCTCGGTCCAGCTATCGTCGACGCCACCACGGCACCCAACGGCACCTTCTCCCTGCGCGCAAACAGTTGTACACATCGCGGTCGCCACTGATACACCTCAACACCATGCTGCCACATACCACCAGCCGACACAACTTGAAGCCCTTGGAGGATCTGTCGTGCGTAGCACCTGCCGGCCAGGCATGACCAAGCGTAGCACCTGTCGGTCAGGCATGACTTGACATCTCCACCGAAGCTCCGTGCAAGATGAAGCCGCTCCACCTCCTGCCTCTGACTTCCAGCGCCGCTCCATAAAATGACGCTCCCAAGAGAGAAACGACATCGCAGTGCCGCCATCGTCCGGTCTGGAACACCAGATTCTAGGGTTTCCCCCGGAGCAATACGAGTGGGTCGACGGAAGTCACATGATGATGCCTTCATCAAGATAACGACATGGAACGCCGCCATCGCCCGTCATCGACTCGGTTTTCACCGGCAACTATGTCTCTCCGACTCGCAGCTGGTGCCAGATGACGGATCCCGAGATCCGAACACCCAGCCTCAGGCCGACCACCTCTGACGGAAGAGATGACCACCACCACCAGCTTCACCAGTCAGAACAGATCTGATCGGAGGTGCCGCCGACAAGACCACCAGGCCCTCCACGCCGCCGTCACCGATCTGAAGACAGCATGCACGCCACCGCAACCAAGCCGGCCGCCGCCAATCGCAGCCACCGCCCGAAGGGCCATCCGCAGCGCCCGCAGCCGTGGCGTCCGCCGTGCCAAACCATCACCGTTCGAGGACGGGCCGGCCTCCCGCCGCCTCCCGCCATCCGCCGCGCCACAGATCCCAGATCGATCGCGCCACCACACGCCTTGGGGTCCGCCCCACTCTAGAGATGCGTAAGAGAGGAGATCCCCCGCCACCGCCGTTGGCCCTCGGGCTTAGCCTGGCGGCGTCTTCCGGCGGCGGCGAAGGAAGGGGAGGAGGGAGTTTGCGGCGGCGGCGGCTAGGTTTCTGGCCGCCCGAGCCGCCGTAGGGGGAGAACGACCTAAGACGGACCGTGTAGGGTTGAGATGTTTCCGGCTGTGGCAACGTAGTTTACAGCAGAGTTGGTCTGCCTTGGATTAAATGGTAGCAAATTTAGCTGATGTATGTACCAAGTTGTTGACACACGAACACGTCACGTGTACCCTCGACACCGGGGGTGATGCACCGCAACTCACGTCGAAGGAGACCCGACCGACAGCGTGATACGCAAGACAGTCGACGGGCGCTTTTGCAGACCCGAAACCCCACACCCTCGGGAGGGACCCCGTCAAGGAGTGCAGCGGCTATGGGCTGCCCTAGGTCGATTCGCTCGCCCCTAGAGCCTCGGGATTCGCAGCTCTCAAATTCGAGGAATAGCGAAGAACAAGAGATAAAAACGATGGAGAGATAAAACATAGATGAAAAGGTAGTATATTGATTTGTTCGATTGTGTGTTCTTCAATCGGCCGTCACCCCAAACATATATAAGAAGCGGCTGGACTTCCCGTACAAGTAAAGGATCTATCTAGGCTTTCCTTACAAGAAAAATTACATCAATTCACGTCCTAGAGTCCTAGTTCTATTCCAACTCGGATTCAATCTGAATCTGGCCCAAACTCTGTCTTCCTTCTTGCGCGGGCCGCTGAGCTTGCATATGATCTCCGATCAAGACGACCCAAATATAAAACTTGTGCGCCTTGACGATACGAACAACTCTCATGTTGATCACTTTTTCAAATAAGGCCTTCTTGAATACTTTTCGAGGTCATCTTTACCTTCTAGTCGGACTCGGTCTTGCAGTAGACTGGATTATCCGAGTCTCGTACTGAATTTGTAGGCCATATACTATCTCTGATGATGATTACTCCAAAACCAAAGTTTACAGTCTTGATGATATGCACAACTTCTGTATTGAACACTTTTTCATCCGAGGTCATCTTGATAAACTTTCGGGCATATGTTCGGTTTCACTCGGGTTCGAGCTCATCCACTCGGATTAAAGTCATTCACTTGGATCGTCCGACTGGACTTTTTCACTCGGATGTTAGAATCTTTCACTCTGAAGACAATCTTCACTCCGATGACCATATTTTCACTCGGAAGGTAATCTCTTCAATCGATCGACAAGTTTTTATTCCGACGGTAACAGTTTCACTCGGATGATAATAATTTCACTCGGACGGAAAACTTTCACTCGACCGGTAAGTTTTTACTCGGATGGTAAGCTTTCACTCGATCGGTAAGTTTTCACTCGGATGGTAGCTTTTCATTCGGATTTTCCGACTGAAAACATAGCCTGATCTTGTTTTGTCTCTCCAAGCCTCATACGACCTCGGATTGAGACGAATTATATATGAAAATTGATCCGCTCGACGAGGCGAAACTTCTCTGTGTTGAAGGTTTTTCGATTCAAAACCGTCTTGAGGGCCGAATTGCTCACGCATTGTATCAGACACTCATCAACATGTGTCTGGTGTCAAGCGTAATATTTTGGTCTCTGGCCTGTCCAGACCGTATTGACTGTAACTTTTGCATATGAACTCGGATTAAGATGATTTATATATGAAAATCAATTGCCTCGACGAGACGAAGATAATTCCTTTAGAGTGCTCCTTCATCTAAGGTCATATTGAGGGCGTAATCGGCCGAAAAGCACTCAGAACACTAAATTTTGTCACTCGGAGTACAGCTTCGGCCATTGAGATGAGGTCGAATGGCGATAGCCTAAACATCAAAGTTGTTCCACTCGACGATGTGAACCTTTCTCATGCTGAAACCTTTTCACTCTATATCTTGCCAAAATCAGGTGTCAACACAAGTTACGAGCATAAATTAGCTACTAGTACATTTTGTCTAGCAGTACATCTCCCTTGTAACTGTGTATCCTACTAGTGTGTACAACTAGTTTGGCTTAAGTAGACTCTTCCTTTTAATTAGCCTATAACCTTGTCGTGTAACCTCTTGGTCTAATTAAGGACTAATATTCTCCAGTACACTTTTCAGTGCGTATTATTCTATGGGCTCTCAAGTCAAGCTTTGAGAATTTGTTGGACTAGCTTCAGTCTGTTTTGACAGGCAGATTTTGTTTCCGCTGCGTATTCCGCTATTCCAAGCATCTTAGTTTTTCCATAACTATGGTGCAGAATATGTAAGAGGTTAAATTTTTCGAGGTCGTCATCCAACCCCCCTTTTGACTCCCGACATCCGATCTTACAATTGGTATCAAAGCCTGGTCGGCTCATCTGTAGCCTTAATCAGCTTTTGACCATGGAGTCATTTGCGAACCCGTCACGTCCTCCGTTGTTCTCAGGGAGTGACTGGCCGTTTTGGAAGTCGCGCATGAAAACATTTCTTGAAGCTCAAAGCTATGGAATATGGCAAATTGTTGTGTGAGATTTTGCAATACCTGCTTGTGTTGGTTGATGTTGAAAATAATTCCAAAGCTATTAACATTCTCTTGTCAGGTTTGCATAGGAGAGAGCATGAGCATGTTGCGCACCTAGACACTGCCCACAAAATTTGGTCCACTCTTATCACTTACCATGAGGGCACTAGTGATATTAAGACAGCTCGTCAGGACATTTACAAAACCGAGTATAACAAATTTGAGCAGTTACCTGGTGAGTCTCTAGAGGACATGTTTGGTAGGTTTGAGGTCATAGTTGGGAGATTGAGGGGTGTCGGGGTTGTGTACACTCCTGAGAAAGCTAGACACATCCTAAACTCTCTTGACCCAATATATGAGATGAGAAAGATCACAATTCAAGAGTCCCATAAACCCGATGAGCTCACTGTAGACATGTTGTTCTCCAAGCTCAAAACTCACCAAATAGCCAGTGAAGGCACAAACCCACCTAGGAACAGTACTCTTGCACTAGTTGGTAGTGAGT